ACACTTGCTTCTGTGAAAAAAAAAATTAGGAAATCAGGAAACTGGAGTCAAACCAGAAATTCGGATGGGTCTGCTGCAATTCGGTACGAGGAGAATGAGTGTCGCACGACACCATCATCAGTGTCGGTCGACACCATCGTCGCAGCGAGGTAAGTTCTCCTTTTTTAATGCGTTTCTCTGTTTCCTTTCTTTTGTTCTGCCATCTTCGGACTTTATAACACTGGGGACAGTGTTGTTTAAGTCTGAGGGAGGTAGTCGCTGACAATGTGTTTGTTTTTCTTAAGAGTCAGTTGTGTCAAATTGTTTTTGAGTCAAAACCTGTTTGAGATTATGATGCTTTTCTTAGAATTATTGTGATGACCTTCATCTAAGTGACCATTGCTGCAGAATCAGTCAGTCTAGATCCGACTAAAGAAAAATTCAAAGGCTGCCCAGTTGACTAGAGGCGTCCATGTTTCCAACAAAGTCCATTAACCTGAGCTAATTTCTGAACTTTTTCTTTTACCTGATTGATGTGACTGGTGTTCATAGAGCTTGATTCCTCGTTTGAACTTACCAAATGAAAGCCTGTGTGAGATCTAATGTTAATGTTTCTCTCTCTTATGACAAGCTAAAAAGAAGAGAGGAGAAAAAAGGCGAAAAGATTGAGAGGATTTTCTTCTAGGAGTGAAAGGTTAGGAAAATTTCCAAAGATCCCATTATTTCACTCCGAAGAAGAAATGATCACACAAAGGAAGGAAGCGAGGGGTAGGAAAATTTTCTGTGACCCCACTATTTTCTGAAAACCTTTGATACAAGGTAAGGGGACAAATCGGGGATTTGATGGCAAATACCATCAGTACTCGCAGCTTTAACCTTATCGTGTATATGCCATAAAAAATGATGATGATAAAGCAAATGCTAAGTCTGGGGGAGAGAAGAAGTACCAAAGTTTGTATGGCTGATTTGTCAAAGTATAGTACGGGAAAGAATCTAGAAGGTTCTTGGCATTGGAATCATCAGTGAGACCCAGCGATGAAGGCTTTTGAACAATGTTGTGGAATTTTGGACTTAATCTGGGAAAGCTGTGAATGTCTGCAGAGAAGTACATGGTGGTTCGATTTGGAATGATGAAACAGTATTTGAATTACAGGGTGATTGATCAAAGTGATGTTCCAGTGAAAGGTTGAAGCTCCGTGTTTTTCAAACCTATTTCTCTTGATTGGTATTCTGTTTGCTTGAGGACAAACAAATGCTAAGTCTGGGGGAGTTCATATATCATGGTTTTTATGGTTTTTGACCATGATATAGGTCTTAATTATAGAGTCTTTTAAGTGTTTTTCAAGTCTTTTGGAGTCTTTTGATAACACCGTATTTTGACCACTTTTATGGATCGATTTGAAATATTTTTTCTATGTTTTTTATTGCTTTCAAGTACTTTTATTACGTTTTCCAAGACTCTTTTCAGGAAACTTAGGGAAAAGCTTAACAAAATGGATAGAAGACCATATTTCAGCTCAGAGTCAAACCGTTAGAAGCTCACCCCCGATTGAAGGCCTTCTCACCGTCTGATCCAGCTCAATTTTGGAGATCTCAAAGATGGAAGTATCAGCTTTCCAGCACACTTTACAGCTTGGCAATCCAACGGTTCAATCAAAAGATACGCGAAGATCAAGATGTCCCGTAAACCACCTGCGGCCAACAGTCTATTTCCCGTGGTCACAAGTTCCCCGACCGCGGCCAGCCATCCATTCCCCGCGGTCACGCACATCCCGACCGCGGCCAGCCAACTCCGAGTTTGAAGGCCCATTTCTGAAGCCCATATCATTTTCCCAGCCTCAATTCCGGAACACTAAAGACCAGAGAGCATTGGAGACTATAAATACTTATCATTTAGGTTGTTTTTGAAGAGAGAAGAAGAGAGACGAAATACTTTACAAGACATTTTACTTTAAGCTTTTTTTTAGGTTTAGGGAGAGAGAGATTTGTCTCTTGAACCCTTGTTCTTTCTTTTTCAATTTTGATTATTGCTCTACTTTTTAATACTATGTTTTTGATTTCGTTCATCATGTCTAAGTAGTTTTATTGTTGGGTCTAAGAGATTTTTGATGGGGATACATATGTTCGATGAGGATTCCATGAGCTATTGAGCCGAATCTTAAAACTTTTTCTTCTGAATTCGTTTTTACTGTATGAGAGTAGCGTCATGAACTACAATCTGATCCAGATTCTTGGTGACACGAAAGTGTTCATCCGGTGTCAGATCTAGTTTGGGAGAGCAAAACAAACATAGGAGTGGAAACTTACCTATGGGCGATTTGTGAATGCTGACGAGTCTTAAACATAATGCATATTTTCTCTTCCAGGGCCAGAGTGGAAACCTACTGGTCAGGGTTGAGAGAGATAGTTGTCTATGATCACGACAGTGGCGTATTCATACGTCCGTGACTCTAGTTCGAAAAGTTTAAGCTAAGATCTTATCAAATTTACTCTATAGCTATGTTTTGAATCGTTTATACCCCTGAGAAAACTTCCCTGAACCCCAGCGCCTCTTTTCTATAGATTTACACCGATTTTCATTCAAGTTTTAGTCTAGTATTTTCATTCTCTTAATCGATTTTCGCTTAATCAATTAGGTTTAGCCCTTTTTCATTTTTAGTTGTTTTCGTTAAGTTTAGTTATTTGGTTATTTTAATTACCGTATTTTCTCTTTAAGATTTGTTTTTACGTTTTAAACACACCACCAAAACCCTCACCAAAATCGCATGGTTCTAGACTTCCTTACTTTATTTTTCTTTCAAAGGCTTTTGCAAGAAAGATCCTCCTTCCCTGTGGATTCGATTCCTAAGTACTACAACCGATCAGCTGTGCACTTGTGGCTATCGATTTCATTTAGGGTGAAACTTGACAACCCCCATCGCAGACCACATCATCTTTACAGGTCATAGGTACGTTTGGAGCTAAACTGGAGATTTTGGAGCACTTTGGAGCTAAACAAGGATCAAATTCGTGAAGAATAAATTATGTACTTTAGTGTCGCTTGACACCATGGAGAGTGACGCTCGACACCAATCGCAGAAATAAGGAAAACATGATTTTGTCCAAGTTTTGAGGAAACTCTTGGGCCCCGAAGTCTCCAATAATTACAAGGAAGCCCAACACATGGTTATTAGTATTTATTAGGGTTTTTAGCCACCAATATCGATACTAGAGATTTTATTAGAGAGAGCTTTTGATTTCTATTTATCGATACTTTGAGAGAGCTTTTGGGGAGACAAGTCTGAAACTCTGTTCGGGAGAGAGAAGATTTTGAACCCCTGTTTACTTATCTATTTACTGTTTTCTGCAATCTATTCAAACATGTTCATTGTTTCAATCTTCATGTCTGAGTAGTTTGCTTTTTTAGGTTTAGGGTTCTCATTAAGGTTTTCTCTGGAGGTTGGATTAATTGATTGGTTAGGGTTCATAATCTGATTAGTTCTTCACCATAGGTTGTTCTTAAAGCTAATTCTGGACAGATCACCTATAACTTAGATCTTAGGTTAATTGATTGACACGGAAGTGTAACTGAAAAACTGGAAAGAACCTAGGGTGAGCAAAGTAGCTATTCGCAAAGGAATTTGGTTTAGCTACTTTGTGAATATATCAAACTTGAGCATTAAAGCTGGTTTAAATCTTTAGGGTTTGCAAAGGAATTTGGAATTCTAGGATTTTGACTTAGAGAATTTTCACAACAGAAGTTGGTTAATTATAATTTCGTGATTTGAGTTCAAGAACCGCACTTAAACCTGAATTCTGATTTATCGATTTATCTCTATTCTCTGATTTCATGAGAAATACCCTGAGCCTAACTCTTTCTCATTGATGTTTCAACCGTTTGATTTCATAGCTGCTGTTATTTTCATCGTTTTCACTTAGCTTAATTCAAGTCTAATTGGTTTATTGAGCGAATCTCTCGTCTCTGTGGTTCGACCCGTATAATACTACAACTGCACATATGTGCTTTTGCAAAGTAGCTCTAGGGACTAAACTTTGAGCAAATCAACTCGCTGATTCTTTCACCAAACCGTTATTCCGACAGCAGTTTCAAAATGTGATATCCAAGATTGGAGTCACCAGAGTCCCTCCATCTTGAGGGGGCATATAAAGGCCCAATATATATAATTTGTATAAGATTTTATTTGTCATTAGATATACCCTAAAGTCTATTTAATCTCTATATAAATACATGTCCACATACTCTTAATAATACATATATAACATTCAGTATCTATACACTATTTCTTATTTATGGTTTATTTTTTCCATTAAAAAAAGATTTTAAGTTGCTGGTGTTAGTGCTGACAATTTTAACTAGTGATGCTAAATTTGTAATAAAAATTTTAAATTTTCTTATTATTAAAATAATTTTGACCAATATATTTTTATTTTTGTAAAAAAAGTAATAATATTTCAAGTAACAATCACAAGTTCTACAGAATTTGTTAACAATTAAACTTTCAAAAATATTTAAAATAATCATAATTTTCACAACTAAATTACGGTCATAGTCTTTACCAATCAAAGTCCAAATCTTTTTAAAAGGTGTCGATTTTTTTCTGGGTCAACAACACTATTAAAATAATATAGGTTGTTGAAATTTCTTAATTAAAAGTATAATTTAAAATGATTTTACATAGTTTGGTATTATTGTTTTCTTTCTTTAGTTAAAAGCTCCTAACAAAAAAATTAAGCTTAAATTATACTTAATGCATGTTGCAATAATACCTCATCAACTTGTACAAATCCAAAAAAGCAGTGTATATTTGTTATTATATCATATAGATTCAGAACTGGATAGTACAAATTGAAAAGAATTGAAAGTAACTCTCATCTGGTGTGTGTATAGAGGAAGTTTCAAATGCACCGAACGCAGTCACGTAGATAAACGCGAATATGAAATATATTAATATTAAAACGACAAAAATGCTAATAAATCTAACAAAGTTTATATATATATACACAGACACCTAATACAGAAATGCAAACTGTGCTTCTAAAAAAAACAAGATTTGAGATGGAAAATGGCAACACCTCAGGCGACAAATCTTCAGTTAAACCGATCCGTTGCAAAGGTTAGTGAAGATGAAAGCTCCTCCACAACCATGTATCTCTTTCGTTGACTGGCGTTGTCTTTATGTTTTTATGGCAGCGGCGGTTAGTAGGAAGGCCGGAGAGCCACTAATAATGGAAGAAATCGTGGTTGCGCCGCCGCAGCCTTACGAGGTTCGGATCCGAATCATTTGCACAGCGCTATGTTACAGTGACATCACCTTCTGGAAACTTCAAGTACTCTTTCTTCTTCTCTTCTTCAATTCATGATTTTGTAGGCGTTTACTATTATGACCAATCCGTTAACGTGTATATCAAAGACTAAATTTTGGTAAAAGAAAAAAATATATATCAAAGACTCATAAATTTATCGAATGACTGAAGAACTTAACAAACCTCAACTTATGATTTTTTTTTTACGTTAAATCCGGCGTTCAAAATATTTTAAATTGCACTCCAAAAACACATTTGGTAAAGGAAACAAAACAGACTGGAGTGTCGAATATTGCCAGGCATCTTTTTTGTTTTATAGCAAATTACTGAGACGACTTAAGAAAATGAAGATATTTTATTGAGTATTAAGTAAAATCGGATTTATATATTTTGTTTGATTTGTGGTCGTTGATACTGAACAGTCAGATTTAAAAATATTTTGTCAATTTGGTGTTTGTTTACACAGGTTCCTCCAGCGTGCTTTCCGAGGATTCTAGGCCACGAGGCAATAGGGTTAGTCTACTACACTACGTCTCATTTTTTTTTCATCCTCTATCCTTTTTAAAAAGTATTTAATTCGAAAATTTTGCATAATCAGATAATGCCATATCTGTGTATGAGCTAACATATTAACATCTTTTACAAATATATTAGCCATTCTGTTTTCTAAAAACATTTTTCCCCTCTGTTCTTATGTTGCCTAACCATTATCCAGCATCAACTCCTCCAGACTCTCTTATTCCAAAGTGGATTTTTCGTTTTTTGGTCAAATTCTCTCCCAAAACAAATTTCATTTAATAGAAATATTAAGAAAAAATTCTCCATGTCAGTCCAACCGGTGCTTCATTTCAAACCTCACATGTGAAAGGTTATCCAAAAAATGGTATTTGGACCTTTTTTCAGCGTATAACGTTATGTAATTTTCGTTGACCGAGATATATAGATGGATAGAGATATCTAGGGTGTAAATGATTGACACATTAGAGAAAAATAATTGAGTATAACTGATTATTTATTTGGATTTCTCTAAATATTTACCATTTTATTATTATATAATACAGAATAATAATTTAAAGTTAGTAACTTGCTTGATTGTGACATATATTTAGTTAAACAATCAAATTTTAACATGTCTTTAATTAATTTTTATTTATATTTTAACAAACCTTATTAAAAAAAATTAAATTAGTTCCTTATCCTAAAATTAAAAGAAAAAAATTATGTTTAGATTAAAAAAAATAATAAATATAAAAAGGACGAAATCCACATAACTAAGAGTTTTCCAGCTCTCAGAAGGGTTATCAATCCCCTTGTCAGAGTAGTATAAGGGGTGTCAAACCAAGCTTGTAAACGAGACACTAGCCTATGTTATTTGTTCACTTAAGTCAAGACAAGAAAATAAAAGTTTGGTGACGATGATTAACGGGCAAATAAGCAATAAAGTTAAGTAAAAGCAGAGATTCAAACTAATCAAGATGCAAACAACAAACAGGTGATTCAGATGATGATAATAATGATAAAGGCAGAAGCTTTAGACAGGATATTTGACTCGGGTGCTTCCAACCTAGACTAATGGGTTAATGAATCATGTTATCAAGCGATTTCATTTAACTTTGAACTCAAGGCATGTTAATCTTCTCATGAAAGTATTAAACATCTAAACTGATCCTTTTTCATACCAAAATCCCTTTTGAGAATCATAAATCAGTCAGCAATAAGAATCGGTTCAAAAATGTCATTTAAGAGAAAAACTATCGCTCTCGCGATGAAAGACTCTTAAACCCTTAACCGAGTGGTTCAGACATTTCTACAAACACTTTTGATGCGAGATATGTCTCAGATCTGAACCTCAAGTGATGTGCTTGGATCCAACCTAGAGATCTCGTCGGTTAAGGAATGAAACATGCAAGACTAGACACTTAAACCCATTAATCCACCTTGAAAGCACCCTAATCTACCTATCTAAAGCCGCTTAAACGACTACTCACTAATCATAACGAGCTCACTAAGTCCTTTGCAAGACGTGTAGCTAGTCATGATAAGGAGTTTGATGTTTGGATGATAAAAGAAATAAAGAAAGAACAAGATTCTGATGCAAAAACGAGATATCGGATTAGATTAATCAAGTTTCACAAAAGAGGCAAGTTCTTAAAGCTAAAAACAGATAAGAGATAAGATAACTAGGTTTTTAGTCTCAAAATGTATTTATAGCAAAGGGAAAGTGTCGCGGGTCAGCCCGGAACAAACCGGGTACTGAACCGATTCCTTGGGTTGATGGGTGAGTGCCACGGTGTGTCGGAAAGTGAAGCCGAGGTCTTCATGCCGAGGTGTGCACGTGAGTCAGGATCCAGATGAAGATCTCGTGAAGAACACGTCAAGAACATGCATGAACCCTAGTCTTTGATCCATCCTCACGTGTGTGTTCTTAAGCCATTCTGTTCTTGATTCTGGGTTCGTGACAAGGTGTTTGGGAGAACACAGTCCGGCATGCACGCCGAGGTCATTACACCGAGGTGTACTCTCAACACTTAGTCGTTTCCAGCTTCAGTTCTTACGTATGCATGCCTCGATCTAATCATGCCAAGGCTTTGGGACGAGCTTTGGTCCAAAATACTTCCAAGATATGAGCCTCGACTTGAGTGATGCCAAGGTAAAGATACCGAGGCTTGTGAAAACACTTAGCGCGTGTCGCAACTCATTTAGGCTTGTATCGACCATGTCATCTTCCGGAAGCGATAACTTTCAGCACACGACTCCAATTGCTCTGTGACCAGTTCCACAGTCAAGATGACTCAATGAGCTCGAACTTTGGTGAAGAAACCATCGGAGCTTGGGGAGTGGAAGGCTTCCTGGATTTCACATCTTTGCGCCGCATTGAAATTACCGGAAAATAGACTTTTAGACCGATGTGAACTCCGGAGACCCTATCTTCCAAACCTTTGCTCCGAATTGAGCGATTTCAAATGCTCTGAGAAGATCTTCCATGGATCTCGAACTTTGATGAAGACCGGTTAAGCTGGTTCGGACAGGAGGGGCTCCGTCCGCCATGGTCTTTGAAGTTCGCCGTTCAGTTCTTGGGTACGCGCAATGCTGGTGAATGCTCCGGAAGCCATATCTTTCTCTCCACTGGTCCGAATTGGATGATTCCAACTGTTCTGGAATCTTTTCTTGATTATCTCCAACTTTGGTGAAGACCCCGCCAACTGATTCGGACCGGAAGGTTCCCCGGATTGCTGATTTCTGAATTGCGCGGGCAAGGACAACTTTTGGTCGTAAAAACCTTCCCGCGGTAAGGAAAATGGCCGAGGGCTGTGTACCGCGGTAAGCTTTTTGGTCGTAAAAATCCTTGCCTCGGTCAAAAACTTATCCCGTGGTATTTTTGCACTCGATACTCGATTCTGGCCGATCGGTAAGGTTTTTGGCCGGTAATGAGCGTCCGGTAAACAATTTGGTCGAGGTTTCCGACCAGCCGGTACGAGATTTGGCGGAGAAATTCCTCCTAGCGGTTTTCACCCTTTTTGACCCTTTTCTTCACCGTTTTCTTTCCCGTTCCTCTTCTTAGGCTCCAATTGGTCTCCAAAGCTCCTGATAAAGACTTCAAAACATGCAAAACTCTTTGGGACCTAATGCAAGCCCTAAATTCTATTTTGACGCCTAAAGACTCAATTTACATGAGAAAACACATGATGAGGACTCTATAATGCAACCTAAATGATGTAAAATATAGACATATCAACTCCCCCACACTTGTCATTTGCTTGTCCTCAAGCAAAAAGAACAAATGAGAGAGAGAGAGGTTGTAATGCAGATGGAGCTCATATTTCCTTTTTAGAGAGAAGTGACCACAAAGAGAACTCGGATTCATGCTCAAATATGCAATGCAAAGCTATACTCAGATATTTTCCAACTAAAGCACGGAATCTCCACAAGTCATTATCACATTCAACTCTTTCACATGCATTAAGTTCGTAACCGGTGAATCAAATGATGCAATGTTCAAATAGGCTGGCTTGGCTAGGGTAAGGTCATGAGATAAAAATGATCTCATCAATATTCAAGCGGGTGCAATGCAACAAGGGTTCTCTCAATGAACAACCAAACTTCGGCAGAATGCTAAAGGTAAAAAGCAACCGATGCATACAAGGGCAAGACTCATCACACCCCATACTCCACTCATAGCATTTCTCACTTGCTCACCCTCTCAGAATCCTCACTCTTCACAATCGTTTTCTTTTCACTAGGGGACTCGCCTTTTTCTTTTATTTTCAAGCCTTGGTTTTCACTTATTCACACAGCTCTTTTCTTTCATAGCGTATAGCTTCTTTCATTTTCATTTCAGAACACTTGAGCCTTTGGCTTCTTTTCATTTCAGAGCTTATCTTTTCACATCCAAGACTTAATTCATTTTCATTCATTCCCCTAGCTATTTCCACTCTCACTTTTCCACTCAGCTCACCTTTTTCCACTCACCAACAAGTCTTTTCCCCCACACTTATTTCTCACCAATACTCTTGGTTCCTTGATGTTGGAACATATCACTCAATGAGCCATGCCCTTGTCGCTCTAAACCTAACACTTTCTGCCAAGTTCAGTCCAAGGTGGCCTTACAATTCACACACAAACATTGGCTCGAAAGAAAGATGGGTTCAAGGTGAGGGAACTGATCCATGATGCGGATTCAGCTACTTGAGCTAAGGAAGGAGGGTGGTAAAAACAACGATTCTAGCTCAAGTATGTATATCGGTATCCACAAGCCTATTCAAGCAATGCATCAAAAGATATTTACATTTCAAGTTCAAGGTTATCACTTAGCTAGAGTTGAGTGTATTTCAGACTTGTTTCTCAGATTCGAATCGTTTCAAGCTTTACAAGCACAGAATGAGTTTCACAAGCATATTTAGTTCAAGTTCTCAAGTGATTTACTCTCTAGGAAAAAATCTATCATTGCTCCTTGCACTGATGCAATCCTACATGATGCAACTAGACTCGATCTTAAAATGCGAGATGCAACTAGAATGATGTAATTTATCACATGTATTAAGCTAAATGAGACTCAAGAATGCAAAAGTCAAATAAGAACAAAGAAAACCAGATCAGAAAACACAAAGCTCCTCCCCCACACTTAGATAACACAGTCCCTTGTGTTATAAAAGCGTGTGAGAGAAGTGAAAAGACAAACTGAACGAATGGAAGATGATATATACAAGATGCAAATGTACAAGGGATGAATTCGATACCTTAGTCGGAGAGGTCGGATCCCAAGTAGTGCGAGGGATTCGATGTTGAGCATGAGGGAGTGGGCTGACGTGGTGGGCTGCCTGAGGGTTCAGGCAGGAAAGCCGTGGCTGGGTCGATCCAGTCTTCTTTGCCTGGTGGAAACTCCGGGTTCCTCGCGTTTGAGCTTTCTCCAACTCCTTCTTCTGTAATCGGTGCGGTTGAGGTCGCTGAGTTTTTATCCGGTGAGGATGGCCTCGTGAACTGCTTTACTTTCTTCTTCAAATGCCTCACACAATCCACCAATGCGTGGATGGTTTTGTCCTGCCACTTACACCACTTTTGGAGGGTGTTCACTCGTGAATACAGCTTCTTGGTGTGGTATTCAGGCTCACCCCACACTTCCGGATCAAAGTGATAGCGGCCTGCTCCGATCCTTCTCTCATAGTGTCTCTGCTCCTCGTTATCACAATCTTCCGGGCCATTAGTGTTCTCGGGTTTGCTAGGTGCTGCCTTGGTGCATTTGCATGTTGGTGGGTCGAAAGCTGGGTTATACAACTGGTCTTTGAGAACGTAGAATGAGACGTTACACTGCTTGTCGAGCATGGTGAGGCTTCTGTTAGGCAGTAGAACCTGCGTGCCGTCTCTATGCAGTAGGGTGAAGTTGTAAACCCATTTGTCCCCTGACTTGCCTCCGAAGAAACCACTTTTACTTAGGTATAACTCATCAATGAGATTCGGCTTCTTTGGTGAATCAGGGAATATAAACCCTTGAGCCCTCAGGATCTTGGTGACTATCCAACCGTTCTGAAGTCTTCTTGCTTTTCGCTTCTTGCGGTCGCACCATACATTGTACCGATAAGTGAGCATTTGAATGGCAAAGAATGCACCCAATAATGGTACATGCAGCGGCCCTTGGAACTCTTTCTTGTTCTTCATTTGAGTGATGAACGGTTTCTGTCCGAGTCCCAACAGTTCAAGCTCGGCCGTGTGAATAACACCAGGGTTAAAGGTCGAGAAGAATGTTGATGCTAGGACGCGGTTTGCGTATCTGATCGCAGGGTTCCTTATGCAGCTTGTCTTGCTCTTGCCTCCGAGGTAAGGTCCAAAAGATATCGTTTCCCACAAGGCGGCCAACTCATCACGAGGGTACACAAACTTGTCAAGCGCGCTTCCATTCCTTTCAAACCCAAAGATTTCATCAAGCTCCTTGAAACTGACCTTGTAGTGCACGCTATCCATTTCAAACTCAATGTGGCCGAATCCTTTGCCATGTAAACGCTTTGGATCTCTCTTGGGGTAGATGATGACCTCCAAGGTTGCAAGAAACTGCTGTGTAATCCCTTCATAGACAACATCGCTCATCTCAAAGAACTTTGCCAAGCCCATATTCTCAAAAATGAGGGTCACGTCATCAAGTATCTCGAGTTTCCTCAGCAACTCCAAGTCAGGGAATCGACCTTGAGCCACTCTGATTGAGTTAAAGTGGTCCAAGTATTCCTCAGTAGTTGGGAAGTGTTCATCCTCGGGCTCGGGCTTTGGTTCTTTCTTGGACTTTTTGTCACCGTTGTCCACATAAGGGACTAAGGCTCCGGGCTCGTCGTCATCAGATCCCACAGCTGCCTTCTTCCCGTTTCTCTTTGACTCGAAAGCTGGTGCCAGAGTGAGCTCAGTATTTCTTGCTCGTTTGGGGGTTGGCTCGTCATCGGGTCGCATCGAGGGTTTCTTGCTGGTCCCTCCACTACGTGGCATGACAACGGCTTTACCCTTCACAACTCTCTTCTGTCCCGCACTTTTGTTTGTATCGTTGGTAGGAACGGTTCGATCTCCGTTCATCTGCAAGGGAGATTCTCAAAGAAACCGTCAGAACCAAGTATATCTTCAAGCATATGTATCTCAAGATTGGCAAGTACAAAACTCTTTCTCTAACAGAACTGGTATTCATAGCTCTTTCAAACATCATGGAGAGTAAAAAAAAACAAGCCAGAACAACCGATTAGAGACAAGTTATCTAGACATTTCAGCTCAAACACACGAATCATCATTAAGACCGATTCCAAGCGCATTTTCTCAAGAATTTTTAAAACTCAAGAACAAGTGATATTAAATGCAAAGACCGGTTTTTCGTGTGTTGTCTACCCTGGTGGAATTTGCAAAATTGTTCCCAAAGGCTGATATACTCTAAAAGAATCGATTCCACATTTTAGGAACATTTAAGCTCGCAAAGAATGAAGGAAGAAGATGAGTTCTTTAAGATGCAAATACCTTTGGGAATCCAAGATTTAAGCTGAATGAGATGCCTATGCAGAGTAGACAACACCCTAACGAGTCTAGAACGCTTGGAATCACGCAAAATGAACGAGAAATGAGTGAGTTGTGTTTGTGAAATGCAGAGAAAAGAGTCTAGAGGGCAAACTCTACGTTTTGGCCAAGTATGGAGGTCGGTATGGGCTGGAGCGCGCTTTCCAGCTGGCATTTGGACTGTTGTGGGACTGGTCCCCCCTTCTGCTCCAGCTCCAGCCATTGACCGCGCCAAAAACCACTTTGACCGGGTGTTCAAATTCAAAATGCCGCGCAACCCTTCAAATGGACGCGGTATAGGGATGACGTGGGCTGTACGGACCAGGCCAAATTTTCTCGTGTTACTCTGAGCTGCCTCGACTTGTTCCACCCCGAGGGTACCAAGCCGAGTCGTCTGAGCCCTTGCCAACGAGTAAATCCCCATAGCTTTCACGTCTTTTCTTTGGACTTCGCAAATCCTCCTTTTCGTTCTAAGTGTTTCATGTGTTCTTGCTTTTGATCATTTCTTGAAACCGAGTACCTCGGCACGCTCCACCACGAGGGCATCATGCCGAGGTCACTTGTTTTTAGCAAAGAACACGTGAAGTTGGGGGTTTAAACAGGCTGGCCTTGGTGTAAACTGGTCGCGGCCTCGGATCAAGGTTTTTGACCGTTTTAAGTGGACATCGCCCCTCGGTATATTTATACCGAGGTGTTTACACCGTGAGCCTCCCCCACACTTAGTTATTTTACCACAGCACTTCTCAGACACGACCATGATGAAATTAAGTCGAGGAATCTAGCTGAGGTTCTCAAGCTTTCACTCGGTAAAAGATGACCATGGTATGAATATACCGAGGGTCGATACCGAGGCTATGTATGCTCTTTGACTTAATTCATCAGGCTGTATCTTTTTCAAGCTTTTTCTCACTGTCACCCTCAATGTTCACTGTCTAACTCCTGAAACACTTAACAAACCCTTCAAAAAGCTTCAAATAAAAAGAAAACGAAGATGAAAAACGAAATATGTACATGGATAAGCTTGGGGTGTCTCCCAAGAGCACTTTGTTTAACGTCGCTAAGTTTGACTTTTCATACCTTTTCAGGCTGATTCCGGTTCAAGTAGAGGAACTGAGGTAGCTCCCTCCCTTGTTTCTGATGCCAAGTAATGCTTTACCCTCTGGCCGTTTACCACAAAACCTTGTCCATCTTTTCCCTTCAAAACCACGGCTCCATAGGGTCTTACTTCAAGAATCGTGAACGGACCGGACCATCTAGACCTCAGCTTCCCAGGGAACAGCTTAAGTCTTGAGTTAAACAACAGAACTTGGTCCCCTTCTTTGAACTCTCTCTTGTGTATCTTCTTGTCATGAAGCGCCTTGGTTCTTTCTTTGTAGATCTTACAGCTCTCAAAAGCATCTAACCGGATCTCCTCAAGCTCATGAAGCTGTAAAAACCTCTTCTCTTGTGCGGTCTTGATGTCAAAGTTCAGAAGTTTCACTGCCCACAAGGCCTTGTATTCCAACTCAACCGGTAGATGACAGCTTTTCCCATAGAGCAAGTTAAATGGTGAAGTCCCAATGGGGGTCTTGTAGGCGGTTCTGTAAGCCCACAGAGCATCGTCAAGTTTCTTGCTCCAATCCTTCCTGGATGAGTTCACGGTCCTTTCCAAAATGGCCTTTATCTGACGGTTGGAAACCTCCACTTGGCCGCTGGTTTGCGGATGATAAGGGGTGGCCACCTTGTGCTTTACTCCGTGCTTCTTCAAAAGACTCTCAAGAGTCTTGTTGATGAAATGGCTCCCCCCATCACTGATGACTACTCTTGGTACTCCAAACCGTGGGATGATGATACTCTTGAAGAGTTTTACCACCACTTTTGAATCGTTGGTCGGAGATGCAACCGCTTCAACCCATTTACTCACATAATCCACTGCCACAAGGATATATTGATTCCCATATGAGTTTACAAAGGGACCCATGAAGTCAATGCCCCAGCAGTCGAAGACCTCCACTTCAAAGATTGGGTTTTGGGGCATTTCATTCCTTTTGGATATGTTTCCGTGCCTTTGAAAAGCTTCACACCTCGAGACCACTTCTTGGGCGTCTTTGAACATGGTCGGCCACCAGAAACCGCTCTGTAGAACCTTGGCAACTGTCTTGAACGCACCTAAATGACCACCATACGATGAGCCGTGGCATTCTTGTAGCACCGGATGGATCTCTTCTTCGGCCAAGCATCGCCTATAGAGATGGTCCTTGTTAAGCACGTAAAGGTACGGCTCATCCCAATAATACCTCATCACATCTCTAAAGAACTTTTTCCTCTGATAAGTATCAAGATCCGGTGGCTCTAAACCGCAAGACAAGTAGTTCACAAGATCCGCGAACCATGAAAGGCTTCTTTCTTTGATTGTGTTGGCTTCCTCCACTTCTAGGTAAGACCTGACTAGCATAAGGGTCTCCTCCGGTAGTGCATCATCAATTGGGACCTGTTCTTCAATCCTCAACCTGGAGAGGTGATCTGCGGCTCCGTTTTCAATGCCTTTCTTGTCAAAGTATCTCCATATCAAACTCTTGGAGCAATAAGACCCATCTCAAAAGCCTCGGCTTAGCGTCCTTCTTAGACATCAGGTACCTCAAGGCCGCGTGATCTGTTTAAACCGTGACCTTTGATCCCACTAGATAACTCCTGAATTTGTCAAATGCAAACACAATGGCGAGCATTTCCTTCTCGGTGGTGGCATACTTTTCTTGAGCCGAGTCCAAGGTGCGGCTGGCATAGTAAATCACATGGAGCTTCTTATCTTTCTTCTGCCCCAAGACAGCTCCCACGGCATAGTCAGATGCATCAGTCATCACTTCGAATGGTAAAGACCAATCAGGAGCTTGTACAATCGGTGCACTGATCAAAGCCTCCTTGATTCTCTTGAACGCTTCCTCACATTCTTCATCAAAGTTGAAATCCACTTCTTTGCACAATAACCTGGTCAAGGGCCTGGCTATCTTGGAGAAATCCTTGATGAACCGTCTATAGAACCCAGCGTGGCCAAGGAAGCTTCTTATTCCTTTCACAGAATTCGGGGCTTGTAAGTTCACCATCACCTCGATCTTGGCCTTATCCACCTCGATGCCTTTCTCTGATACCTTGTGTCCCAAGACAATGCCTTCTTGGACCATGAAATGACACTTCTCCCAGTTCAAGACAAGCCTATGCTCCTCACATCGTTTGAGAACCTGAGAAAGATTAGCAAGACATTCGGAGAAAGAGGAGCCGTATACGGAGAAGTCATCCATAAACACCTCAACTTTCTCTTCAATTAGATCAGAGAAAATGTGCATCATACATCTTTGAAAAGTGGCCGGTGCATTACACAAACCGAATGGCATTCTTCTATAAGCATAAGTGTCATAAGGGCAGGTGAATGTCGTTTTCTCTTGATCTCGGGGGTCTATAGGTATTTGAAAGAACCCCGAGTATCCATCGAGAAAACAAAAATAAGGGTGATTAGCTAACCGTTCAAGCATTTGATCAATGAATGGTAAAGGAAAATGATCTTTTCTTGATGCAGAATTCAATTTCCTATAGTCAATGCACATGCGATGGCCGGTTATAGTTCTTTGGGCTATGAGTTCATCCTTATCGTTTTTCACCACCGTGATCCCACCTTTCTTGGGCACAACGTGTACAGGAGACACCCACCGAGAGTCAGAGATTGGATATATGATCCCTGCCTCAAGGAGCTTTAGTATCTCCTTCTTAACCACCTCTTTGAGGTTCGGGTTAAGGCGACATTGGTGCTCAATAGAGGACATGGCTTGGTCCTCCAGGTGGATCCTGTGGGTGCATATATCAGGAGAGATTCCTCTAATGTCAGCCAAGGAATACCCTATAGCTCTCCTGAATTTCCTTATTTCATTAAGCAATGCACGTTCTTCATGTTCAAGCAAGCTATCGTTTATGATCACAGGAAAAGTAGAGTTCAGACCTAAGAACGCATACCTGAGCCCTGTTGGTAGAGGCTTTAGCTCAACAGGGGGTGCGTCTGCCTCATTCCAATCGGCATCAAAGCTGCATTGGCCTGGAACAGCTTCCTCGGCCTTTGCTTCATTCTCGCGCGTTTTACCATCGGCCTCGGTATGAGTTGTCACGGCCATGATATCCCGAGGTGTCTCTTCTGTTTCCGTGGATCTCTTGCTGTCTAAGATGTCGAGGCCACTCTTCCTGAGCTCCAAAAACCTCGCCTCAGCTCCAAGTTCCCTCGGTTGGTCCAAAAGACGCTTGTACACCTCGTTTTCCTCGTTCAAGTACCCGTGCTCGCTTTGTTCACGTGTCAAAACCACTTGTAATGGATCCTCTGCGTTTAACTCTTCAAGGAGCTCATCAGCCAGCTCCTCCATTACTTCCACGTAGAAAACCTGACCTCCAATGGTCGGTTTCTTCATCATCTCCTTCACATTGAACTTCATAGTCTCGGAACCGATGTGTAGTTCGATCATTCCTCCTCTCACATCTATTATGGCTCCTGCGGTTGCTAAGAACGGTCGGCCTAAGATGATAGGGTCCAATGGTTCCTCGTCCATCTCAAGAACTATGAAGTCCGTGGGGATTTCTATCTCACCGATCCTCAAAGGTAGATCCTCAAGCAACCCCACCGGTAATCTAACCGATCTATCAGCTAATACAAGAGAGATCTTGGCCGGCTTGTAGCTTTTGTATCCCAATCTCTTGGCCACCGTGTAAGGCATCAAGCTCACAGAAGCTCCAAGGTCACATAAACAGTTTGAGAACTTCAGGTGACCTAAAGCACACGGCAGAGTAAAGGTGCCCGGATCGGATAGCTTCCTTGGTATAGATCTCCTTTGTAATATTGCGCTGCACTCATGACTCAGTATCACCATACCCTGGAGCTCCTTTGTCTTGTTGAGGATCGCGTCCTTTAGAAACTTCCCAAGCTGGGGTATAGCTAAGAAAGCATCTATAATGGGTAAGGTGAGTTGCGTGTTCTCCAAGTGTTTCTCAAAGACCGCCTTGGCTTTGTCTAGGATTTTCTTTTTGAAACGCCCTGGGAACGGTATCTTGGGTTGATAAGGTGGCGGTGGAACATAGGGCTTTTCAAGCTCGGTTGTCTTTTCCACCTCTTTTCCTTTGTCCTTGATCGGTTCCTTCTCTGAGACCTCTTCTTTATGCGCATCATCTGAGGCTGCCTCCCCCTCTAATTGGTCATTGGCCTCAATGAGCTTTGTCTTAGGCATTGGAGTTTGTAATTCCTTACCACTCCGCAATGTGATGGCGTTCACATATTCTTTAGGGTTCGTCTCCGGTTTACCTGGTAAAGCCGGTCCTCTTGATGATGTAGATGCCTGATTCTGCTTAAGCTCCCTGATATCTTGCTGCATTGTCGCGTGCTGGCTCTCAACCCTTTGCTGGCCCTGTAACAGCTGCTGTAATATCCCACAGACGTCGTTCCCCATCTGATTCTGATCCGTTCCCTGAATCTGTTGTTGATTACCATCGGCTGCGGATTGAACCCTGGTGGAAACTTGTGTTGCTGCGGTTGGTTGTTGAAGTTGTTACTCTGAGCCGCTTGATTCTGCTGAATGTAGCCGTGCTGTTGCCCACTGAACTGTTGCTTGGGCTGGAAGGTATTCTGAAAAGGAGCTTTTTGAGCATAGCTTTGTTGTTGTTGTTGAGCAGGGTACACTTGGTCTTGAGGGTTAGCTACATTCGGGTTTCTGTATGAGAGGTTTGGGTTACTGTTGTAGTTGTTAAACCGCTGATACCTCTGCTGATTCCCTATGTAATTCAGCTCCTCTTGTGTTAGACCATCTTCATTAACATTGTCAAAACTTGGCCCTTGCTCATCAAACTCGCCTACAAAGTGTATTGGCTTTTGAGTCGCCATCAAAACTTTGTCAAGCTTGCTCTGAAGCTCTCTTATATCTTTTTTCATACGCTGTTCATCACCAGATCCTTCTGTACGGTTTGCTCTATCAAAGTCCTCTCCATATGTGTCATTAGACATGGCTAGGTTTTCAACTAGTTCCATTGCCGCAGTGATCTCTTTTCCAAGAAAATTCCCATTTGAAGCTGTATCGAGTTGGTTTCTGATCTTGGGGAGTGCACCTCGGTATAA